GTCCGGGACACACACATACACAGATACCAGGTGTCTTCCACCCCCACCCCCTTAACTCAAGTGCACACAAATACACATTCTCACATATACAACCTAGGTATCCAGGGGACACACACATATTCACACACAGCACCCAGGTGTCCAGCACCCCCCCCCAGGCATCTGACGCGCACACACGCACAACCCAGGTGTCTGACACAAACACCCCCCCTGCAAGAGTCTGATATACGCACGCACAACCCAGGTGTCTGATGCGCACCCCACCATGTGTCTAATATGTACACACACATCCCCCCCCTCAGGTGTCTGACGTCTGCACCCCCCCAGGGGTCTGATGCACACACACATTCTCACCCACACAGCCTAGGTGTCCAGGACATACACACAGAACCCAGGTGTCACACACATACATTTTCACGCACAACTCAGATGCCCAGGACACCCCCCTACCCCGCACATCTGGAAACAAATCTCTCAAGACACAAGCTCTTTGAGGGGCTTTTTATTGCTGACACGCTCACCTCCTGCTGTCAGCAGAGAGGGGGCAGATACAGATACCCGCAACACACTTCCTACTCCCTCATGGACACCCCTTTTGCCCCAGAGGGCAGGGGTGGGGTGACAAGCCTAGGACGACAAACCCCCCAAAATTGCAGGTTTTTAACATGTAAGAATCCATTAAGAAATCCCAACAAGACGATAAGTTATAGCGGGATAATTTCTTTCCCTCGTAGCACCACACGTAGCACCAGATGTGGCAAGGTGGGTCCCCCTGCGGCAAACAACTGGCACCCAGGACTCAACACTTCCCGGCCGGGCAGCGGGCTGAGCGGAGAGAGAGCAGGGATCAGCGCTGGATAGGAGGTAAGGTTACATGCACACACACACACACACACGCACACGCACAGAGGACGTAGGTATCCAGAACACACAGAAACACACACACACACAACCTAGGTATCTAGGACACACAAAAATATGCACAGTCACACACAGGAGCTGGGACACACACACAGGACCCAGGCATCCAAGATATACACGCACATACACACACACAAGACCTAGGTGTCCAGGACACATACACATACCCTTAGGACCCAGGCATCTGGGACACACCCTCCCTGGTATTCAGGATAAGTACGTGTATGTACGCTTACACACACACACACACACACTCAAAACCCAGGCATCTGGGATATGTGGATCCAAAGTGGACCCAGGTATCTGGGAAACACCTACACGTGCACACACACGCGCGCACACACACACACACACACACACAGAGGCATCTGGGACACACAGAGGCCAGCGTGGTAGAGTCTAGGAGGGTCCATACAGCACCCAGCACCCCCCAGTCTCGCTCTGGGGTCCAACAGGATGGGGGCCCTGCTCCTCACCTCGGTAGCCATTGCCCAGGAAGCCATTTAGGCCGTACTTGAACTCCTTCCCACCTACGAGAGGGAGAGCTCCCATCACACCCCCGTCTTGCCCTGGGGGAGTGAGGAGGGGAGAATCGTCCGTCTCCTGTGGCAGTAGAGGGCCCTAGCCACACCCACCAAGGGACACGGCACCCCCGCCTACCATATGCCCCTGGGGCGAGGGCACCGGGCACCGGGCCGTACCCACCAAGAGCCGGCCCCACGGAGATGGGTCCGTAGGCACCTGAAAGGGCATGGGAGAGGGTTGCTGTGGGGCAGAAGCACAGAATAGGGGGACATTTTATGGGGCAAAAGCAAAGGTTGAGGGCCAGTAGCACAGGCTGGAGGGCAGTGTGGGGCAGAAGCATAGGTGGGGGGGCATTTTATGGGGCAGAAGCACAGGTTGGGGGGCAGTAGCACGGGCTGGAGGGCAGTGTGAAGCAGAAGCAGAGGCTGGAAGGCACTATGGGGCAGGAGGGCAGGTCCATCTGGCTGCTCCAGGGGTGGGCGCAGCCCCACCCTCCACCACTGGGGGGCTTCATAGCTCTGCCCAGCCCTGTTGGCACTTTGCCCACTCTGGTTTCTCTTTCCTCCATCTCTATGGTTTCCCCATTGCCAAGTCCTCCTGGCCCTGCCCCCATCTCCCAGCACCCTGGGGGCACCCAGGGCAGGTCTTGCCTGGAGCCATTCCATTGGCCTGGAGATCTCCCCCATTCAGGTATCCCAGTCCGTTGCCATTGGCTGCAGTGGGGAGAGAGAAGAGATCAGTGGGGATATGGGACCCAGACATCCCGGGGCGGGGTGGGGGGAATCAGGAGCCATTGATGTTCAAGTGCCTGCCCATCCCACAGGGGGCAGGGGACCCAGGCATCCGGGTGGCCCCTCCCCAGCCCTTACCCTCCAACCCAGCAGGCTGTGCCCTGAATGTTGCCTGTCCTGAACCACCTGATGGGGAGACAAGGGAGAGGGGTGGGGGGCAGCGGATAGAACCCAAGTGTCCAGGCTCCCCCGCTCCCTGGGGGCTCCACCCACTGGGCATGGAACCCGGGCATCTGGGCGGAGATGGGGACCCAGGTGGCCAAGGAGTCTTGTCCCCCGAGGGGGAACCCAGGCATCCGGGTGGCCCAGGGGCAGGGGCGGGGGTGATGACAGCAAGGGATACCCCCAAGGGAGCCAGGTGTCCAGGCCTTCTCCCTGTGGTCTGGGGCATCCAGGCAAGCCACACCCACCAGGAAGGGGGGGAAGGGAGGGAAGGGGGTAGGGACCTGGGTATCCAGGCAGGCCTTGTCTACCAGGGATAGGAACCAAGGCGTCCAGGGCACATGGGGGTTCAGCGAGTGCAGCCTCCCATGCCCCAAAACATCCTTCTGTACCTACCCCCCACATCTCCCAGTGCCCCCCCACGTACCCAGCTTGCCCGCATTGAAGTCCGCACCCAGCCCCACTGGCACCACCACGTAGGGTCCTTGCCCCAGACCTGGGGGTGGGGGGGAAGGAAAGGGGGCAGGGTCATAATCAGGGAAGCCCTGCCCCCGCTTCTGGCCCCCCACCCGCCCCCCCAGGGACCCAGGAGTCCAGGCTGAGGGACTCACCATATTTAGCAGCTGACGGCTCTGCACCAGGGCCTCCAACCCGGCCCCCAAAAGGCCCCAGGGCACCTGCAAGTGGGGGGCGGAGGGGTAGTTAATAGGAGGGCAGTTCCCAATCTGTTGCCCCCCACCCCACAGCCCCATGGCCCCTCTCACTGCTGACCCACAGCCCCCGGGACACCTGGATTCCACCTCACTCCTGCCCCACAGCGTCCCCCCGCCCCAAGCCCTTAACCCTACCATTGCTATATCCCGGCTGCGGCCCTGGCCCTGGGTAGCCGTTG